GGGTCACTGTGAAGATTATATGGGACTATGGTTAAAACTGTGCCTGGCCCACACTAAGCATCACACAGGGATTTGCTGTGGTTAGCCTCTTTAATACTCACCTGACCACTGTCCTTGTTCAGTCACTCACACTGACTAATGTGACAGTCCTCTGGCTGCCACCTCCACCTCCACTGCCTTTCTCCTGCCTCACCTCATTTCTGATCCCCAGTTCACACTGATGACCAGACCTTCAGGAAGTTACAAATAACTTTCCTGCACATTAAGTCCAAGGTGAGGACCATGTGGACATGGCTACTCCTCCTGCCTGTGTCTGAGTTCGCTATGAAGGGGCCCCAGGGTGCCAGGCCCAACATTCCTCGAAGACTCTGCCTCCTTTTTGACACATCGGTCCCCCAGGGTCCTCCCACCACCTTCAGCACCCAGGCCTGCAACCCCAGTGTCTTCCAGGCCCCTCAGCCAACTCTGCAGCAATCTCAGAGGTCTACTGACCTCTATGCCTCTGTGTATGAGTTGCCTACATATAAATGAAAGCATCAGGCCCATTAGTGGTTGGAGGGAGGAACAATGTACCATCTATGGCGAGGTCACAAAAACTGTAGGAAAAAAATATTACAAGTCTTAGATACTGATATGACTAACCTTACCTCTTTACAACATAACACACTTCTTTCCATCTCAGCTTTTTGGGAGTACTATAGACACCTTCCAACATAGTAGAAATTCAGTTTGCCTCCCAAGACCATGCTCTGCAACCCATTGCAATAGGAGTGGATGAGACTGGGAGCTCCTACAGGAATCCTTGTCTTAAACTGAAACAAATCCAGACTTAGTAAAGGAGAGTCTATTCAAAAAGACCAATGCAATTGGAGAAGTACTATTGCCTTGGGAGAAGAGGACAGTTGCCTTGGAGAGAGTGCTCAGATCATAGGATCTGCACACATCTCAAAGGGCAGGCAGAAATAATATTCCTATTATAGGTAAGAATAAACAAGTGAGAGCTGACTGTGTGAGGAACAGTGTCATGATTAGACATTAATCAGGGAGCATTTTCCTTTGTACTCTGCTGATTCTCAGAGACGAATACAAAACCATAGGGTATGTAGATATAAAGAGGTTTTAGGATGGGAATGGCTCAGTAATTACGAGAGTGAAAAGTACCATGATACGCAGGCTGGAAGACCAAGGAAGCCAGACACAGAGCTCAATCTAAATATGAAGTTATGAGAACCACAGGGGAACTGGGACAAGTCCCAGAGTCCAAAAGTCAGAGAACCTGAATTTCAATGACTACAGCAGGGTCATTGTCCGGCTTCAGAGGATAAGGTCACCTTTCTTCTTGCCCTTTTGTTCTATCCAGGTCCTTGGCCATCTGGATGGCATCACTTAGATGACCCACGGAGTTATGATAATAATTTTTTGCGGGTGTAGCAGCACTGGGCTTGAACTCAAGCCTCATGCTTCCCAGACAGCACTCTACATTAAGGGTTGCTTTGAGCCACTAAGTTTTGAGTCATTTGTTAAAATCAAAGCTAACTATATATGCCCCTTTCTGAAGAAAGTGATAGGTAAATTGAAACATATACTCTTAAGTGAATCAAGAGACCCCTTTGGAATTGGATTAAGTTCTCTTTCTATGATGTTGGTGGCGTGCGTGAAGAGAGGTGATAACCTAAATTGGATGAGGTTTTGACAAAGTGAAAGAGGGGAAAATGTATGCTGAGTTTGGCAACAAATAATGCCTCCTATTATATAATCTCCACCAACCTTGATGTTGCTTCTCACTTGCTAGGCAGACACTATAGCACTTGAGCCACCACCAAGCCCTATGTTACTTCTCTTTATAAGCAAAACTAAGCTTGTACATGACACAGTTACTTGGGGAGGCTGAGATCAGTTATGTTCCAACTAGGATCACAGTTCAAGACCAGCCCTGGCAAATACTTCACAAGATCCCCATCTTCAAAAATAACCAGTCAAAATGGACTGGAGGTGTGTCTCAAGCAGTAGAGCACCTGCTTTGCAAGCACGAAACCCTTAGTTCAAATCCAGTCCCATCAACAAAAAGGAAAGCTAAGTTACCATTAGAAAGCTCTTTCAGAGGAAGCAAACTATGTTTCTGTGAAGTGAGTGTATCATGCAGCCTGCTTTGGAAGGCAGCTGATTAACAAAACTTGCACCCCATTATCCCAGTGGTTGGTAAACTTTTTCTGGAAAGGGCCAGATAGAAAATATTTTGGTTTTGTGAGTCACATGATCTCTGTAGCAAATACTCAACTCTGCTATTGCATTGTGAAAGGAACAATAGAAAGTATATGAATGAATGTGGCTTATTCCAATAAGATTTTATTTAAAGAACAAAGCGGCAGGCTGGATTTGGTCACTGGGCCATAATTTATCAATCCTTTAGCTGGAGAAGCAGCATGTGATGCTCTATAGGGTTTTGGGGGGAATCAGGTGTCACTTGATGACATACATACATACTGTATTGTACTGTTCATAAAATTTAGGGTGGAGCTGAGTTACTAGCAGTTCCCTTTCCCATACAGAAGTAACAAAACAGTGTTATGAATTGGGCATTACATGTTAATAGCTGCTCATTTTTCAGAGATAAACTTACAATTCTGTGTCCTGCTTTCTTGACATAAACTGCTGAGGGAAATAATGGCATCTCATGCAACAAAATGCATCATTGTGAAGTGTGTAGTCTTTATAACACTCATGGGAAGATTGCTTAGGTATCAAGAATTATATTTCACACAGAGAAGCAATATTCTTCACAGTACACTATGTTCAGTGACACCTAAAAATGCAGGTCAAGCATGTTTTAAAAGCAAAGCAGGATCCTGAAGAAACAGGAAAAAAAAAAGAACATTTGAAAAATACATTGAAGTAGTTATGAGAAAACTCAAAACTTGACTGAGTTTCTTAAATTCATGGTCATTATTTTTTTACTTTGTGTATGAGGTTGGGGGTGGCTCACAAATCTCTCCATGCTTGGCACCTCAAAAAATTTTAATCTATCATTGAGTGTGTTCTATGTTATCTTCTTGGAGAAGACCTAGGTTACTAGCAAAGGGTTTGTACTTTGATGAGTAATATTTCCAAATTGTGTATTCTTCATGTAACCTGCATAGGTGGAAAAATGAGTTCCCAGCAATACAACTAACAGAGAACAAAAATCATCTCTGTGGACTTTGCCTCTCTCTCTAATCTGGTTGGTTTGAAAAGATGAGTTGCTAGCAGTTTTAACTGGCCTACAGATGAAACTTTAAGAGAGACTGTGATTTAGGGAAAGGGGATTTTCTGGCAGTTTTAACTCTGACATATACCAAAAAATATCTACATGGAGTAATTATTTCACGTAATATGTTAGAACATAAACTATTGTCAGCTCTCAAATCTCCTACAACTCAGGAGATGCTAAATCAAGTCAATCTCTCTCTCTCTATCTCTCGCTCTCTCATTGGTGTCCTTCAGAGTTTTTTCAGTGACCTATTTATATTTATTTATATAATTATGTTTTTAGTGACCTATTTATATTTAAAGATGACTCTCTACTTGGGTACTGGTAATGAAAATAACATTCTTCAGCTCAAAATTCTACTACTTGGGAGGCAGAGATAGGACAATCAAGGTTTGAGGCTAGCCCAGGTAAAAATTTAGTGAGACCTTATCTCAAAGAACAAGCTAGGTGTGGTGGCCCATGTCTGTATCCCAACTACGAGGAAGTATAGGTAAAAGGATTGCAGTCTGAGGCCAGTCCAGGCAAAATGTTTGAGGCCCTATCTGAAAAACAGAGCCAAGAAAGGGCTGGTGGAGTGGCTCAAGTGGTAGAATGCTTGTCTAGAAAGTACAAGACCCTGAGTCCAAACCACAGTACCACCAAAAAAAAAAAAAAAAATTCTGATTCTGGTATCTCTAGCAATCCACCAAACATCTACTGAGTGCCTACTACATGCACACACTGCTCTGGGTTCTGGGGATATAATGTGAACAGACAGGGAACGCTTTGTCTTAATAAAGCTTACATCCCATGGAGGAAGACAGCAGTCGTACAGAGTGAGGTGAGGAGATGAGAATTTGCCGGCTGCATGGTTCTTCCTTTCAAAGGTTCAGAGAGCTCGTTTTCTGGATTTAATCTATGGCACCTGCATTTTTCCCATTTATCAAAAATGCAAATTATCTGAATTTTACTTTTCTATCTGATTAAAGAATTCAGTAAGTATTAATTGAATTTGCTCGTTCTAACGAGATTATCCAAGGTTCTTGCACACATACACGCATACACACTGAGATATTTATGTGTACAATATACATATCACACACACACACACACTGCGCTCCTGGGGCTTTAACTCAGGGTCTCGCAAATGAAGTGCAAGCTCCTACCACTGAACTGTATCCCCAGCCATTGGGGAGCTATTTTAAGCTGATGGAGTATACTGCTTTATAAATAAATAAATGGGCTGAGATGGCCCATTCGGCATCTTTTCCATTCCTAACGCCTCCCCTACGGTGTGCCTGAAGTGTGCGCTCCAAGCCAGCATAGTCTTAAATGAGACTTCAGGAATGAGCGGGGAAACAAGGCTGAGCTTGACCTCCAGGCTTACAGACTAGCGCGGCCCCAGGGCACCATAGAGACGTTCCTCCCGCTTCCTAGAGAGGCAGCGGAGGTGGGAGGGACGCGCGAGATCTCTGTGACGCACTAAGGCCCGCGCCACCGCGCGTCGGTTCCCAGCTTGTACTCGCGGTGTCCTGGGCTTGCACATACCCCTGGGACCCTAGACACCGCCCCGCGAGGAGCCCGGGATCTCACGGTGAGCCAGCTGGGCCCGGGGAGGGGACAAGAGCGGTTTCCCGAGTGCCTCGGCGGAGGCCTCGCCCCTACGCCGCCGCCATGCCTCCCGGATCCCGGCGCAGCGCGGAGATCCGACGGAGTCCCGCCTGCAGCCTCAGCTCTGTAGACCCTAGGGCCCAGCTCAGTGTTCAGCGCAGAGGAGAAGCCTAAAAAAGACCGTAAAGTGAGTAGAGGAACGCCTAAGCGGGGCTTGAGTGAGGAATGTATGGTCACGAGTTAAGACCCATAGCCGGGCACCAGTGGCTCACGTCTGTAATCCTAGCTACTCAGGAGGCAGCGATTGGGAGGCTGGCTTCAAAGCCAGCCGCTGCAAATAGTTCATGAGGCCTTCCATTGGGGAAAAAAACAAAAAAACAACACAAAACAGGGTTGGCGGAGTGGCTTATGTTGTAAAGGCCCTAGCAAGCTTGAGGCTCTGAGTTCAAACAGTACCGCCAAAAAAAGGGACCCATGTCTTAAACGAATGCCAGGGCTTAGAAGTCTTGGTCTGGATATCAGCCAACGACCCCGGCGATCCTGCAGCTTAGAAACGTGTTTTAGTGACTGTCTTAGTTTAAAAAGCTTTGGGTGACAAATCTCAACACCGAGGTTATAATTATGGAGAGTACAATGTCTTAATCTCTAGAACTGGATAGTCTAGTAGTCGTGTCTTGCTTTCTCTCCACAAGGCTCAGTTGACAGCTCGTATGTAATAGCTTATATGCAAGCGTTAATGTCTTCCAATGAATCACTGTCTATTATATGCCAGACATTTCATGGGATTCAGGAGCAAGGCTGCATACAGGACAAGCGACAAATGGGATAATTGATGTCCAGTGCTGGAAGATATGCATGTGAGCAGTGATAATATTTTAATATTAATATTAAATGTGATAACATTTTAATATTTTAAACCACACATATAGCACTTGCCGTATGTCAACCACTGTTTGAAGTAGTTGTGCAACAGCATATTATTATTTGTAATTTTTATGTGAGGAAATGAGGTACAGAGAAAATAACTTGACCAAGAACACATTGTTACTTAGTGAGCCAAGGCTGCAGAAAACATAGGTACATTCTGCTCCTACTGCCCTGAGTGTGTTACATGGTATCAAGAGGCAAACCAAGAAGGACTTCAGAGAAGAGTACATTTGAGTATGGTCTAATTGAAGGAATTGAGGTTTCACATTCTTGAAAAACCACACCGACTTGCCTAGACTCCTTCATCTGATTATTGAGGGGCAAGGAGTTGGCAGTGTGGAGACAGCAAGTTAAGAGAAGGAAGCCACCTCCCTACTAGGTAGCAAGATGAGGCTATTAAGAACCTTTTTTGCCTATGTGGTAGATCACATTTGTAATCCCAGCTACAGAAGCAGGTGGAAATTGGGGAGGATCACAGAGAAGTTTGAGGCCAGCGCCTGGAAAAAAAAAAAAGGCAAAACAAGCTGAGCTTGGTTACCAGTTCTGTAATCCCAGCAGCTACATGGGAGGCATAGGTAAGAGAATTGTGGTCCCTGACAGGCTATGGGCAAAGAAAGAAAAGAAAAAACTGAGACCCTACCCAAAAAATAACTAAAGTAAAAAAAGGTCTGTTGTCATGGCTCCAGTAGTAGAGTGCAAACCACAGAACTACCAAAAGGAAAAAAAATAAAAACTATACTATTGATATACCATTAATTTATTTACTTTTTTTTTTACAATTACACTAACAATGTGATCTTTGCACACAAATCCCTGATTGTATTTTTTTCACTCTTTTTTCTGATTATAGAAGTAATGTATTCTAGTAGGAAAACTTTGACACATTACAAAAAGATAGGCTTTAAACAAAAGTTTGGCTGTGTGCTGGTGGCTCACATCTGTAATTCTAACTCCTCAGGAGGCAGAGATCAGGAGGATCATAGTTCAAAGCCAGCCCAGGCAAATAGTTTGTGAGACCCTATCTCAAAAAAACACAACACAAAAAAGGGGTGGTGGAGTGGCTCACGGTGTAGGCTCTGAGTTCAAACCACAGTGCCACAAAAAAAAAGTCTATGATGATTTTATACTTCAGAGATGATCATGCTTAATAATTCATATGTATTCTTATATTTTAGCTAGTTTTTATAAGAAAGGAAAGCAAAATATAGATAATTGGGAAAATCATAATTCATTGTATCACTGAAGTGATAATTATTTTCTTTTTGATTTTATTCATGTGTGTATTTTAGCAAATGTATCTGATGTACTTTGTTTTTGGCAGCACTGGGGTTTGAACTCAGGGCCTCACTTATGCTAGGCAGTCGCTCTACCACTTGAGCCACTCTACGACTCCTCTAATGTACTTGAAGTCATAATATCCTGAGCTTTTTCATTATATATTTTCCACAAAAAGTCTGTACTTTCATTTTATGTGTGTGTCTGCTTCTCCCACATGAGTAGGTGAGATTTCGGTTATGCACCACCGTGCCTGGCCATCATGTTTTCATTGTCTTTTTGTGTGTGTAGTGCTTGTGGTAGAACTGAGGACATAGTGCATGCCATGCAAGGCACATCTCCAGCCCTCATTTTTAATTGACTTTTGTTTTTATAATTTCCACTGAGTTGACATATCATAATTTGCTAAGCTCCAGCGTCTACCAACAGAAAAATTACTTCTAACTACACTGCCAAGGATATTTTTTATAGGTAACAAGAGAATTATGTTTTTGTTAATTAGTTTGTTTTATTTTGTGGTGTGGGGGATTGAACTCTATGCCTCATGCATGCTAGGCAAATGGTATACCACAGAGCTAGCCCTCTGGCTTGCAAATTCCATTTTTCCCCTCTCTAGGAAGTTACTTCTCTATGAGAAAATTCTAATAGTAGAATTACGAGGTCAAAAAATACAGACATTTTTGGGCTGGGGCTGAACTCAAGTGGTAGAACACCTGCCTAGCAAATGTTAAATCCTGAGTTCACATTCCAGTACTGCAAACAAATGCGCGCGCGCGCACACACACACACACACACACACACACAGATACACAGACACACGGATGCATTTTTGAGGTACTTCTATATGTACTTTTTTTTTTTTTGGCAGCACTGGGGTTGAACTCAGGGCTTTATGCTTGCTAGGCAGGCACTCTTACCACTTAAGCCATGCTACTAGCCCTTTTTTTGTGATGGGGTTTTTCAAGATAGGTCTCATAATCTATTTGCCCAGGCTGGCTTCGAACCATGATTCTTCTGATCTCTGCCTCCTGAGTAGCTAAGATTACAGGCATGAGCCACCAGCGCCCACCTTCAGTTGATGTTTTTATGTCCAAAACTCTAGGTGTCTGGGAGTATAACTCAGTGGGAGAGTGTTTGTTTAATGTGCACAAGGCCTTTGGTTTGATCCCCAGCACCACCCAAAAAAAACCCTCAAAACTCTCCGAATGTGTTGTTAGCCTACACCTCTCCTCTGTTTCAGATATGTAATGTCTTACTTTTAGTTTGAACATTTCAAAACTAAATGTACCTTCTTCCTTTCCAGACTAGTGTTCCCACTTCACTGTTGGTCACTGTCATCCAATGAACCCCAAACTGGCCAATTATCCTTGACTTCTTCCTCTTTCTTACCCTCCCCCCCACTTTTCATCCAGACCTTGTGATTCTGTCTATGAATAGAGGGGTATGCTTGTATAAAACAGCAGGTCTGATCATGGTGTGTTTTTAGCAAATCTTTTCAAATCCTTTTTATTGCTTTCTGCTCACTTCAGGGTGTAGTCCTTAAAAAAGGTTTACAGGGCTCATTTGATCTGGCCTTTGCTTGTGTCAGGCTTCACATCTCACTTCTTGGAGTTAAGACTTTGGCCTTATTAAGGCTCCTTCACTCCTTCAAAGCACTGAGTTTGATTCTATTTTATGTGTTGCTCAATCTGGGTATGATTACCATTCTTGCCTGTCTAGTTCCTTTTTTTCTTTTTTTTTCCAGTACTGGGTTTGAACTCAGGGTCTCACACTTGTTAGGCAGGCTGTCTACCAGTTGAGCCATTCCACCAGCCTTGTGTAGTTCCTTTTATCTCCTCTTCACAGAGGGTTGATTTCCCAGACAAGATTAGGTTTCCTCTCTATATTCCTTAGTACCCATATTCTAAGTGATTGGTTTAATGCTTTTGTCCAGCTATGACATAAGCTGCAAAGGGGCATTGTCCAGCTTTTTCCATAGTGTCTAGCTCTGATTACACTCAAACCTCACTCTGCTGCATGAGTCTATAGGGTTGTTGGGTAGCTGACTGGTCTCCTTTTTTGCTCTCCTTTTTTGCTCTCCTGTGACAGAGGATCAGAAAACCGACACAAGATCTTAAACATGCAAAACTTTAATGCAGAGGCACAGGCTTTGACAAGAGGCATTCGGGATCAACCTGATCATGTACCTCAGCAGGCTCAACATTTCCTCAAGACTTCAGGGCTTGTGACTCTGGGGCACCATCAGTCATTTGTCTGTCTTGTCTTTTTGTCCTGACAGTAATGCTGTGGTTCTGCTTATTAGTTTAGGGTTACATGTAAAGGTATTTTTTGATGAACAGTTATGATTTTAACATTTCGAACAGTAGAATATGCAGAAATTCTCTGTACTATTTTTGCAACTTTTTGTAACCCAAAAATTATTTAACAGTTAAAGGGTGTTTTTCTTTTGTTTTGTTTTAACCTGCAGCATGTGTACTCTTACTGAGCTGTGCCTGAAGAAAAAAGTGTTATTGGTATGGCATCTTGAAGAAAGAAGAATCACTACATATCTAGTGTGTGGAGATTATACTGATACTCCAGTAGAGAAAATTCTCTAGTCACTGTCCATATATGTTGGCATATGGTGGAAGTGGGTGAATCAGACTAAATGCCTTGTCATGAGGCCACTTTCTCATGTAGCTTTTGGTTACATTCACTGACTTTTCATATAGATGATTATGTGATGAACATAATCCACTCATTGATAGGAATACTCCCATCCATTTAACCTTTATCATTTTGCGGTAAAATCAATCAAACAAACAAACAAACAAAAAAAACCCATTCTGACTTGCTTGTTGAAGACTTAGGTGTTGGACAGCATGCCAGTCTGTCTGAGCCTGCCACTCTGGACAGCTGAGAATTGAGACTTGTGAATCTGGAAGGTTACATGGCAACCCTGAGTTTTGCTGATATTATCACATTGCTATCCTGAGAGGTCTTATGTAAGTTCTTAGATCAAATCCCTAGGCAGCAGCTCTTTTACTTCTTTTTGCTGGGATAGTGATATCCTTTTCCACATATTTTTCCCTGATAAGCAGAGCTCGAAGTTCTCCAAACCTGAAGTATTTTCTAACCAAAGCAAAGAGAAGACTTGTGGGTGTTCAATATGCAAGGAGCTGAAGATAGAGGCATTGGAAGAGAGACTTATCCAGGTGAGTGAGCAGAGGACAATCTGAGAGAAGGAAGACTTTCAGTCCATCAGTAGGAATTCAAAAAAATTGAGATTGTGGGTTGGTACTGGTGTTTGAACCTAGGTCCTTGTGCTTTCCAGGTAAGACTCTGTCACCTTAGCTATGCCTCAGGTCCATTTTTACTTCAGTTAATTTTTCAGGTAGGGTCTCATGCTAGTCTTAGACTGTGATTCTTCTACCTCTGCTTCCCAAGTAGCTAGTATTACAGGTGTGTACTCCCACAACTGGCTGCAAATTTTAAAAGAGATACTGAATGAAGCTCAGGAGATAAATTGCTGTGTCTTACTGGGCAGTTGGGGACAGGTTTAATGGGTATCTATGGACCCAACTGTTTTCTGGTATTCATTTTATCTTTCAATCCATTTATTCTTTAAATTGAAACCATCCATATTTCCCTTTTTGCTGTGAACTTAGCCTGTGTGGGTTATTGTTTTCCATTTGTCTGTTTTCTTAATCCCTGGGTGTTTAATGTGCCCTTTCCCTGGATGTTTCTTGTTAGTGGTGATCACATTACCCTGATGTAGATCTCTTCTACCACTTGCTACCTGAACTACTCATTTTACTCATAGGCCAATACTGAGACCCATGAACGTTCAGGTCCTGCAACCTCAGGGCTTCCTCTATGTCCTATATAAGAAGTATTCACTTTGATGGTTTCTTTCAGGTTGGAAGAACAAGCCTACTCTGGAGAAGGATGTCTCTGAAATTGATTCACCAAATTTAATAGTAAAACGATTCCAAGAGGATGAAAACCAGGATTCTACATTTGAAGAAAAACATGCATGTGAGGGCCTAAAGGAAAAGGGTCTTAGAGAGATTCCTGCACCATGCCCTTTTCAGGAAGGAGGCTTTGGGGGAATAACCTTCATCCACAAGGAAGCATGTCCTACAATGATTAGTCAAGAATATCATTTTGAGAAAAGCTTTCTTTTGACTTCAGGCCTTGTTACACATCTTAGGCTCTCTACAGAAGAGAGCCTGAACCATTGGGAAGCAAGCAACATACACACCAATGAAATTTCCGATCAAAGTAAACATCCAGCTCTCTCCACACAGAAAAATTCTCAGAAATGTCATGAATGTGGGAAAACCATTACTCGGAGCTTGTCACTTACTCAGCACCAGAGAACTCATACTGGAGAGAGACCCTATGCATGTCAGGAGTGTGGGAAAGCCTTTAGTCATAGCTCATTTCTTGTGCAACATCAAAGAATTCACACTAGAGTGAAACCGTATGGATGTGAGCAGTGCAGAAAAACATTTCGATGTCAATCATTTCTTACTCAGCATCAGAGAATTCACACTGGAGAGAAACCTTATAAATGTAATGAATTTGGAAGTTCTTTCTGCAATTATTCACACCTCACCGAACATCAGAGAATCCACACTGGAGAGAAACCTTATAAATGTAATAGATGTGGAAAGGCATTCAATCAGAACACACACCTTACTCATCATCAGAGAATTCACACTGGGGAGAAGCCCTATATATGCAATGAATGTGGCTCATCTTTTCACAAACACTCAAATCTTACACAACATCAGAGAATTCACACTGGAGAAAAACCTCATAAATGTGATGAATGTGGGAAAACCTTCCAAACAAAGGCAAACCTCACTCAGCATCAGAGAATTCATACTGGAGAGAAACCCTATAAATGTAAGGAATGTGGCAAAGCCTTTTGTCAGAGCCCATCTCTTATTAAACACCAGCGAATTCATACTGGAGAAAAACCCTATAAATGCAAGGAATGTGGCAAAGCCTTTACTCAGAGCACGCCACTTACTAAACATCAGAGGATTCACACAGGGGAGAGACCCTACAAATGCAGCGAATGTGGTAAAGCCTTCATTCAGAGCATTTGCCTTATTCGGCATCAGAGAAGTCACACTGGAGAAAAACCCTATAAATGCAATGAATGTGGAAAGGGCTTTAATCAGAATACCTGCCTTACTCAGCATATGAGAATTCATACTGGAGAGAAGCCCTATAAATGTAAGGAATGTGGAAAGGCCTTTGCTCATAGCTCATCTCTTACTGAGCATCATAGGACTCACACTGGTGAGAAGCTCTATAAATGTAGTGAGTGTGAGAAAACTTTCCGCAAGTATGCACATCTTAGTGAACATTACAGAATTCATACTGGTGAGAAGCCTTATGAATGCATTGAATGTGGAAAATTCTTCAGACATAGTTCAGTCCTTTTCAGACATCAGAAACTTCATAGTGGTGAATAGTCCTGACATTTAGGTTATGACAATTTCTCTAGAGAGAGTGACCAGGAATCTGGCTTGGAGCAAGGATCAGGGAGGGAAGGATGAAAAACCTTGGCTACTGCACTCTAGAAAGAGTACTCCTGAAATGGAGGTGGGAGCTTCAAGAATGCAGGGTGGGAAGGAAATTCCAGCTTTTCAGATAATGCTTGTAAGTCACCACCCCTTATTCTCATTGTGACTCTTAATCTTTGAGGAGGTGTTAGCAACTTACCACACCCTTGCCCAACCTTCTGATCATATGCACTGCTGGATTGAGGTACTTTTTAAAACATCCCTTGTTGGTGTAACAGTTTCAACCATTCTGATGTAGTGCATAGCTTAAAGGAGTGTCCAGATGCTTGAGGCAGCTCTGACCAGACTATGACAGGGAGACTCCCCAATCTTTAAAAGTGGTCTTATGAGGGGGAGACAGAAACATGTGAAAAACAACCTGTATTCATTCAGCAAATACAGTATCTGTGGCAAGATTATAGTGATCACTACAAGTGGAGGAGTGTTCTATCAGGGTAAGGGAGATCTTTGTAGTTTCTTTCAAATTTGTGGGCAACTTGGGGATAAGAAAATAGGTCAGGAGAGACTTGGCATTTGTGTAGGAAGGCAGATTTGTTCAGGGGCCAGGGAGAGGAGGGCCCACCTGTCACAGAATACTGGCTTGTCTAGGAAAGAAATGGTCTGTGCTAGACCACTGATGATAAGAAGCGTCAGAGCATGGAACCTGCATATAACCACATACCTTAGCCCTGGACTAAGGTGTACTTCTGTTTCTTGCAAGTTAGACTGGACCACTGGTTCACAGGGACCAGGAGAGAGGGACCCATTAGGACCAACAGTATCTTTTTTAAAAAGCAACTTAATTTCCTCTTTTACTTGAAAAAGCAGTGATAAAAGAAGACAGCCTTTTCAGCTGGCTAGAGTTTGGAACTACTAGGCTAGTTTTTCAGAGTGTTGACATTTGTTGTGGAGTTCTTTGAAAAGAGGTCTGGAGAGAATTGCCTTTTCAAATTCCTGAAAGTTGACAGAACATGATGGTATTTTATTTTGAATAAAATGGCAGCTGTCATTTCTATTTCCCAATCCCTTTCATGTTCTTAAATGCCACCCAGAAGTTGAACTTCAGAAGATTGTGAGAAGCCTTTGACTGGTATTTTTAGTAGTTTCTAAACTACTATTAAAACAACAAAAATGAGTTTATTTTAGAATTCATTTCTTTTTCTAGTGCAACTGTCTTGCAAACATCCCTTCAGACCATTAGTAACTATTAGGGGAATGTGGTAGAAAGAACACACTTGGTTTTCCCTCTTTAGCTGTCAGGCACACATAACCTCAAAACATAATCTTCATGATTGAGGAAATTAACACCTTATTGGAGAAAATAACCGTATGAGGTCCTTCTAAATATTTTATGCTCATGAAAATACATAGTCTACTAAAAGCAAATGTCTGCATTTATATTTCTTAAATAAAATTAACACTTTAGAATTAATTGCTGTCACATAGTTAATGCTCAATAAATATTGATTTGCCAAATTAATATATTTTAGTCAAATGTCCTACTAAAACTTTTAGGATTTTCCTGATGCATAGGTATTTAGAGGAATATTTGCACACTGCTGTTTGAACTTTTGAGAATAAGTTAAGAGAGTTTTCTTGAGAAATAGGGAGACTTTAAGGGTGAATGGTCCCCAAGTTGTGTTTAGGAAGATTTTTCAAATGGATTGACCATGGCCCTGAGAATTGAATTCTCAGGCTGAGGTAGCTGGCACATTCTTGCTTCCTGGTACTATAGAAAGGAAAGGATGTTATTTTTCCACTACCCTCACTCATATTCTCACACTTGAAAATTTCTGCTCCCGATTTCTTCCACTTGCTGTTCCATGAATGTGCCTAGTTATTACCAAACCTAGGAAGTGCCCTGTCCCCTGTTTTTCCCTTTTATTTAGTTTTCATACCCATTCAACCACCAAAACCTTTTGAAAGTTCCTACATCTGGATGCCATCTCCATTATGATTACTTTAGTCCGACTTCCCAGTTTATCTTCTAGACTTCTCTGTTTTTCTAACAATCTTCCAGTTTCATTCCGCATGAAGTCACCGTTCACATTTCTTCTGGATGGTCTTTAAGCATAACTGGATGTTTAATTTTTGCTTGCCTGAACAGCCTGGATTTCTCACTTATCAATATGCTCAGACAACATCTTAAAGCTATCTCTAAACTCACATATTTTTTCTGCATTGTGCTTTTAAAATCATATTATCATATTACTGTAAAATGTTTTGTTTCGAAATCTCTTTCCACTGAACTGTCAGCTCCGCCAGTAGGAACAATGTGGTGGTGCTTATCATCACATCCACAGGTGCTGGCATGTAGGAGGTGCTCAATAAACATTTGTGGAACTCAAAGTATTGGACAACTCTATGATCGTGTGAAGATTGTGACTTAGGTCACCAATTAGTGCAATTAGCACTATGGAGGTTTGTGACTGTGTGTGTGAAGCGTTTGCTAGCAGGAAGATTTCTGATCTTTTCCCGTGATACAGAAAATATGATTGTATGAGGTAGAGTATCCCATAAGAAAAAGTAATCATCTACAGTCAAATGAGACAAAGTCCAATCTCAGAAGGAAAATGCAGCTGCAGAGACACATGTATGCTAACCAGAATATCCATGAAATAAGAAAATAGACAGAAACTGAACAGTGATGCTGGCCCACAGGAGAGCACTTGAGCTGAGAAATCCTAAAGTGGAAGCACTTCCTGAGCTCATGGCTAAATGTGATTTTTAGGATGATAGAGACTTGGATCATCTTGCTTATTCTCAGTGCTCTGAAATTAATGACTTCAGAAGGACACAGTGGGGTGGCCCACATTAGATCCTCAGAACAATAAAAGAGAAAACGTGCAATTAAACCTTTGTACATAGGTGGCACTGGTTTCTGTTTTACTTCCTTTCATCTAGTGGCTACATCACCACCAAGGTCATTTTAGTTGTGTGCAATGTTTTCTGTACTATGCATTTTCCACTTCACAGAAAGAAGCTCTACTCTAAGCCCCAGATTACTGTTTCTAGTGAAATGCTCTACTGAGGGTACCCCCACTCCAGGATAGTTTCTAGACACTGGTGCCAGCTGATTTGGAGATTTTTTTGAAACCTAAAAGGTAGGTTAAAAAATGGTTAGATCTTGGCTCTCTGGCCTGTGGAATGTTAGGACTACAGAGACAAACTTGCTATGGGATATCAAAGAAGTCCTTGGAATGTGACACTTGGTAAAATTTAAGAGGCACTTGAGTTGTTACATGGCATGTGAACTGACATTTTACAAAAGGTCTGTTTTTAAAAAGTTGGACTGGTGAAGTGGCTCAAGTGGTAGAGTGCCTACCTAGCAAGCATGAAGTTCTTGAGTTCAAACCCCAGTACCGCCAAAAAAAAAAAAATCCATAAAAAGACCCAACATAATGTTGCCAGGTGCTGGTGGATCATGCCTGTAGGCCTACCTACTCAGGAGGCAGCCATTCGGAGGGTCACAGTTTGAAGTCAGTTTCCTGCAAATAGTTCATGAAACCATTTCTTGAAATACCCAATAAAAAGAAGGCTGGCAGAGTTGCTCAAGTGGTAGAGCTCCTGCCTAACAAGTGTGAGGCCCTAAATTCAAACCCCAGTTGCGCTAAATAAATAAATACAGAAAATGGTATTGATGGTATCAGTTCTGAGTTTGCAGATAGGTAGGAATGCCATGCCTGCAGATGAATCAGGTGCTCTGCTACCCATGCCTCCATCCCTGGACTACATGTCAGCAGGAGGACCATAGAGATCTGAAGTTTTTCAGAACTGGGTGCTACCTCGCAGGCCGGGAAGTTCACTGAAACCACAGCAGAACAATAGCGACTGGAACTGGGGTTGAGGAAGATGATAACCCAACCATTTACTTTTTATTTCCCCAGAGCTGGGAATTGAACCCAGGGCCTGTACCACGATGCCACACTTCCAGTCTGAACAGTTTCTAAAGTGCCAGATGTTCTTAGAAATTCAGCAACCCTATGACATTTGGTATCATCATTCTGTCTTTTTTGTTTTCCCCGTTATGGGGTTTTTATCTCTGGACTTCACGTTTGCTAGGCAGGCACTACTGTTGGAGCCTCCAGCCCTGTTTTTTCACAAGTGAGGAAACAGGCAGAGGTCAAGTAACTTGTCCATATTTACCCACTGAGAATTGGATTTGATCCAAAACAGAGCTCTTGTTCATTTGATCCCTTGTTGAGCAAGGATCCTGTATCAGTAAGGTGTTTGGGATTCCTGTGAGGTGGTCAGCTTTCTGGCAGGTGAGAACATGCGTGCATGAGGAGGGTTAAAACCAGGTTGGTGAAAGCCTTGAGAATTCTCAAAGTATAGTGATGGGAAGATAAATGTGGCAGGTTGCAAGATGAAATGACGCACTGTGTGCTTCTTGTGGTTGATCCCTACTTCTCACTTCCATTCAGCTTCCTAATGCAAGAACGCATGTTGAGGTGGGTTTGCAGATGTTTCTGAGAGCCAGTGCTCCGCCTTTCCCTGCTCCTACAGGGAGGAACCATGGAGAGGAAGCTGCGCCCATCTTCCTATAGAGGTGTGGCAGAGGTTCTCAGCTGCTGCACGGACTGGTGATGTCACATGAACCGGGACCATCTGGGGCTGACTTCCGGTGGCCTGGGAGTGCCCAGCGAATCCTGCATGGTATGGTGTCCTGAGACAGCTGTGCGGGGCACCTGGTGGGCAGCTTCTGCTGTGTGGGGCTGTGGCAGGGCCCACTCCAGCGCCTCTCAGACCTTTTCTGGCGGCTGACCTTGGTGCCTCCTCCATCCTGGAAAGCCTGTGGAGCAGCAGCCTGGCGCCCAAAGGGTGTTAGGAAAAAAACGCCACTCACAAAGAAAGCTCACGAGAAAAGTCTCACGTCCATAGAGCAGAGATTAATGGCAGGCCCAAACTGCCAGGCTTTGGTGGGGAGGGAGAAGATGGCGCAGCAGCCATTTTGGGCCTGTCCTGGCTTTTATAGAAGGGGGAGGTTAAGGAAGTTAGTGCATGTGCAGTAGACTCTGGTAGGGGTGGGGCTGTCTTAGAGCGTGGGAATTTCTGCTTAAGGGCAGGGCTGTCCTTGGAAGTTTCTCAAGTGAGGTCTGAAGATAAAATGGCCACATATTTATAAATGGCGACATTATTGTTCTGTCATTTCCCCATTTTTTCTTTAATGATGGGGGCAGGGGCTGAGGATCGGGAATTGGGATGAAACATCGGTCTCTTAGCTGCTTCCTGCTGGCAGGGGTGCTGTATGGGGCAAGCTCCTCAGACTCCTCTGGCGTCCTGGTAGGTTGATATCCCTGGAGGTACAACTGGTTAAACTTTTGATTAGCAATAGCAGACGTGGTTTAAAAGAAATACTTGTACTGTTCTTATGATACAAGGGAGGAAGCTTAAGAATATGAGAGCAAGAAACATAGGCATCAGGATGGGCATCAACTGCCATTTGAAGATCACTTATCAATTGATTAGAGTCTTTTGTGTAGCAGTGGACAGAGGTTCCTATTCCCGCAGCCCCTGTTCCCATGGCAGCTGTTATTCCCAGGGTAGCTAACAAGGGAATAGCCTGGATTGCCCTGATCTTCTGAAATTATGTCCATGTCAGGGACCAAAAATACCAGCGTGCAAATACCCTTCCAGGCTTGGGGTAAATAGGGGTATGCACTCTGACCGCATAGAAAGAGAGTCCCGGAAATGGGGGGGTAGCACATATTGTTTCCGGTTTTGTTGGCTGCAGTAGTGGTGTGACATTTTTTTGGTCACCAGGAGGCATACCTCAACTATCCCTGAGGAACTCTGTAGGCAAGGAGGGGCTGGCTGGGAGAGGGGCACTGGGGAAAGAGCGGAGGTGGTGGGCCTTTTGGTGAAGGAACAATTTAAGGTAAAAGGTGTGGAAATGTTTATGGGGCTGGCAATGACCTGAGAAGGGCCAGTCCACTGACACATCCAACAACCACGGGCTAGAGTAGGATTGGTGTGGTTGAGTAGTATTTATGGCCTGGAGGAGAAGGGTTTTAGAAAGGGACAGTGTGTGTAAAGGAATTTTAAGAGGCTTTTTGGTGGGAAAGAATAAGTCATTTAGTCTTTGAGGTACCTGGGTCTGGAGGACCTTCCAAAGGGCCTCATCCTGGACTGTGCCTCCATCAGATATACCAAGCTGTGAGAGGTAAGTCCCGCATACCTGTTGTCCCCTCCTCCTGTGGCAGCAGTA